TGAGCAAACATATCTTTGTGATTGTATTCAATGACGTCACTTATACAACACTAATTGATAGTCTTGGAATGTACTTATATCGAAAATGAGTAGCGCAGTCGATTACAATGGCAAACACGCATTTGCATAACCGACAATAACACTATACAAAGAGGAGTTGAAAAAGGTCTGAATTTCCCTGAATGTTACATCTGTCCTGTGGCCCACTGGTACCCGTGGCAGTATAGTAGAGTGGTTAACTTCGCCAAGAAACTCACGACCTGGTTTTTAATCCCGCTAGGAATGTGGTATGTAGATGAAGATGGTGTGGTTTTTTGTGAGGTCGCAGTCTCCTTTTGTTGTATAGAAGTGGTCTCTTTGGCGAATCGTAGTATGGTGCCGGCGAAACGTCTGTGAATGTACCACGTCCACAGTCTGACTTTGGAAATGATGATGCATACAATGGACTCTGGACTAAGTTCGTTCCTCTAAGTCTTCCTACCAATATAGCCAAGTTGCGAAACAAAGTCAAACTACTTAGAAAAATAGGCAAGTTGTCGATCGCAATGGTAGACACATATTTGCTAGGCGACGTCGAAACCATCGTCCATTTTGGATTAAATAAGCTTTGAGAGTCAAGGCTAAGTGAAATCCAATGGAAGCTTTAAACGAACTCATCTCATTGTGGCAAAATTCAAATATCCATGGTTCGTCATCTTAATGGAAGGAGGGTGAGAACAGTTCATATGCGAAAACGAGCAATGCAGTGGATAGTATTAGCAAATACAACTTTTCTGCATCAATGATTTAATGGGAGAAAGTTGAAATTCTCGTTCACTCGAAAGCATTCATGGCCGTGTGACGTAGTGGTTTAAGCCTCAAGGCGATACGCTGCACAAACCGGATTCAAGTCCGGCTGGGAGTGATGGTGAATGAGATGTATTCACCCTATTTCGTGTAAGGTGATGAAGGGTGAATACATCTCATCACACCGATTTACTCGTAGTCTCGAAACCCTACTTTCATACGAATATAAGTGATGGTTAAGCCTGGATGAGGTGGAAACTGAAGTCCCTTTTGGATGAGAGTAACATTTTCGGAAACAGGGCAAGAGGCAATTCATTGAAAGCACGAGACCTACTCATCCAATTGTGGGAAAAACCCAATTATCATTTCATGCATCACCTTAAGCGGCCTATGATAATTCGTCCATGAAATGTGACATTGAAATACTTCAAAATGCTAAAAAAAACGCTTAAATTGTAATCATACTTACCGGCAGATATCGTAGATGGCCTCATTGTCCACCATGAAAGCGCAGTCCGAGTGCTCCAGCGTAGTGTGAGTTGTCAAAATCGAGTTGTATGGCTCGACAACCGCGGTGGATATTCTAGGAGCCGGGTAGACGGAGAATTCGAGTTTAGAGCGCTTGCCATACTCCACACTCAGACGCTCCATCAAGAGCGAAGTGAAGCCCGACCCAGTTCCGCCGCCAAAAGAGTGAAAAACCAGAAATCCCTGCAGTCCGGTGCACTGCTCGGTCAACTTGCGGATCCGCTCCAGAACATTGTCGATGATCTCGCGACCGATCGTGTAATGCCCACGAGCATAGTTGTTCGCCGCGTCCTCCTTTCCAGTGATCAACTGGTCGGGATGAAAGAGTTGCCGATACCGGCCGGTGCGCACCTCGTCGACCACGTTCGGCTCGAGGTCCAAGAAGATGGCGCGCGGCACGTGTTTACCATTGCCGGTCTCGTGAAAGAATGTGTTGAACGAATCGTCGCCTTCGTGCGACGAGCCCTTCAGCATCAATCCGTCCGGTTGGATTTCGTGCTCCAGACAGAAAAGCTCCCAACAAGAGTTGCCGATTTGTACGCCAGCCTGTCCAATGTGGACGCTGATGCATTCACGCTGCAAAATAGCAAGTCGGTTGAGAGCTAATCAGTTGGCCACTTGTCAAAATGAGTGATTTTTGCAATTAGCTATTAGCAATATGAGATGTATTCACTCGATTTCGTTTAAAGTGATGAAGGACTGGTAGTTCAATTTACTCACAATGATATGAGTAGAGCTGACGTTTTTTAATTTAATTTCACATTGCCTTGCTTTGCCAAGAGTTGTTCTCATCCAGCAGATGTGAATTTAAAGGAAGGTCAGGCCTTTCGCCATATCATATTCTTTTGGTGGGATTGTCGATTAAGTAAACGTGTATTTGATATAACAATCGACTGCGTTACCTATTTTTCGTGTTTGAGTAGAGTTTCGAGACTGATTTACTGGTAGTCTCGAAAGTCTACTCAAACACGAAAAATAAGTAACGCAGTCGATTGTTATAGCAAATATACGTTTGCTTCATCGGCAATCCCACCAGAGAATATGATATAGCGAAAGGCCTGGCCTTCCCTGAAATTCACATCTGCCCTGTGACCCAAGGACACTCGTGGCAATGCGTTAGAGTGGTTACCGTGTCAAGCTCACATTCTGAACTGTCACGGTTCGAGTCCCGCTGGGGGTGCTGATAAGACCGATGCGAGGTCGAAACTGCAATCCACTCCATCCGGAATAAGAAAAACTTTTTGGAAAGCAAGGTAATGTGAAATTCAATGGAAACGTCAGCTCTACTCATATGATTGTGGGAAAATTCATCTTCTACCAGTCCTTCATCACCTTAAACGGAATATGGTGAATACATCTCATACTACTGATTTACTGGCAGTCTCGAAACTCTACTTAAACACGAAAAATGAGTAATTAGTACTCCAAGCAATGATTCTCTGAAGAATAGGGCAGTTTTTCCAACGACGAAAGGAGTAGAGCACAAGATTTTACCTAAATTCGTCTGCCAATAGGATATATCCTCTATTGTATATGGCCGTTTTTGCTTCGCACACATCTGCCTTTTGGTCACAGAGCAAATATGAATTTCAAGAAAGGCCCGGAATTTTTGCATATCACATTCTGTGAGGGAATTGTCCATGAAACAAAGTTGTATTTACAATGGAAATAGACTACATTATTTACTCGAAGGTATGAAGACCAAGATGGTGTGGCCTTTTGTGTGATCGCAGTCTCCCTTCGTTGTATATAAGTTGTTTGATTTTGTTTTGGTAACTTGGTCATATTGGTAGAAAGACTAATAGGAAAGCACCTTGTCCTGAGTCCATTGTATGCATCATTATTTCCAGAGTATGACCGTGGACGTGGTACATTCCCAGACGTTTCGCCGGCATCATAGTCGGCATCGTCAATGAGTTTTGCCATTCGTAGTACCATATTCTAACTCGTCAAAGAGACAAGTGAAGCTGATCCTTTGACCAAACGGGTGCTAAACAGTTGTGGTATCTCCCCTTCTGCCATGGGGTATTCACATTTCCTATATCCTCCTATCACACCTTGACCGTCACAATATTTTACTTGCCTAATTAAATGTGGTACGGTGTGACCTTTTGAGCGGCTTCTATGAGAACCATCTGCACTCCGAGCTGGCCTTCTCACCACCCTTCATCCTTGTGCTGGGAATGTCGATCAGAGTCTGCCATATTGTTGCGCAGTCCTCCTTCCATAGGCCTTACCACAGTCTCTCTCTTGCCCCGTAGAATCCATCTGCGATCTCTCTGGTTCAAGTATTTCTCTCTTTCTGCTACTCGAGTTGTTATTAACCCTCCTCTGCGGCTTTGCCACATCGACCACGTCTCTTATAAAACCTACTGTCAGCTCACTAGCTCCCATCGCCGCCGTGTCTATCCTGTTCCTATCTCAAATACCAAGTCTATGACTTGCCATGCCTTAGTCTCTTGTGTGCCAACCCACAAATATTGTGGTACTGCTTGCTTTGGTTAGGTTCAATATGACCAAATTGCGAAAACAAGGTCAAACAACTTCTATACATTACTTATTTTTCATTTATAAGTAGCCTTTCGAGACTGACAGTAGATCATAGATATGAGATATATTCAGTCTATTTTTTTAAGGTGATGATATCTTCAGGGAACCAAGGCTATACGAAATTAAATGGAAACCTAAAGCACACATATGATTGTGGGAAAATTGAACTACCAGTCTTTTATCACCTTAACGAAATATGATCTACTTCTAGTGTCGAAAGCCATGTCGAAGGACATGTATTTTCCCTTAACAATCGGCGACATTACTCATACTTAGAATGAGTAGTTCTCGAAATGTTCTGACCATGCCTAAGTTCTTATTCGTGAATAACCGATGATTTCGTAACATTCTCATACCGAATAGTTGACTGCAAAATGCCAAATCATCTAAGGTCGCCTATGTTTGCATAAAGACTGTAAGTCTAATTTCCAACTATAATTTAAATAAAAGACCCAACGATGCTGTTAATTCCTCCTTCAGCCTATCTTCCTGACTTGCTCACATCTGCGCTGTGTTTCATTGGCTCTCGAAGATGTGGCAGAGTTGTGAAGTTGCGGCTCGATTCACACTTACCGACTTCGAAGGCGCATGAGAAGGCGTTGACGGGAAGCAAGGCCTCGTAACATTTAGAAGCCTCCTTAAGCCTTTCATTGTGCGAAACTTGTGACCATGTCGCCATCCGACATTTCACAATTTTCACTGCTTTAATG